GGGGGGGGGTATGAGGGAATAATATGTCCTATGTGTCGAATCCGTCGTGTTCGACGTGCAAGTTGGCGAGCAGCATTTGATGTTGAAATGTTGCATAAATATGAATTATATAAATATTACACCACCGTAGACCCCAAACAGTTTGTGTTTTTCAACATCGAAACTAGAGCTTGGACAAAGGATTGCGCAAGGCAGAGGCGGCCACAGCAGCCCAGAGCTGGGAGACAAATGTAAAGGGTTGCAAGGCAGAGACGGACACAGCCGTACAGAGCAGGCGGACATATCTTAAGAAAAGAATTGAGAAGCCCTAAACCTTTTGGGGAATTATTCTTCAAGTGCGAACATGATGCTGGTCATGCTGCTCAATCAGCGGGGAGCTGACCACGTGAGGACAAGAAACAAAAGCATGAGGAGCGAAGGATGTGACATGAAATTGATTTTTGGTGCCTGACGTATGCCCTCCGTCCCAACTGAACAGAGAGATCGCTGCCACGCCGCCGAAATCCAATCCGGTCATTCATCCAACGCTTGCCCGAAAAGGAAAACAAAGCTGAGAGAGTTACACACTGCGGCAGGAATGCAACCCCGGAGACAGTCACGCACCCATTTCAAAGGAGCAAGAACCTTTCACAGGTGAACCTGTTCCAGCGGACAGGGCAGAAAACACCAGTGCAGGCACCAAACCTGAAAGACAAAAAGAAAGAAATCACATGGGAGACAAATGAATAGAAATGCTACATGGCCAAAAGAGATGTGGTAGACAAATGAATAAAAATGCTACATGGCCAGCAGAAAAGGGCGGACACCAGCAGTGACAGATCCGCGAAACACATGAATAGAAATGCTGCATGGCCAGCGGAAAAGGGCGGACACCAGCAGTGACAAACCTGAAAAACAAATGAATAGAAATGTTGCATCGCCAGCGGAAAACGGCGGACACCAACAGTGACAGACCTGGGAGACTAATGAATAGAAATGCTGCATGGCCGACGGAAAAGGGCGGACACCACCAGACAAATGAATAGAAATGCTACATGGCCAGCGGAAAAGGGCGAACACCAGCAGTGAGAGACCTGGGAGACAAACGAATAGAAATGCTACATGGCCAGCGGAAAAGGGCGGACATCAGCGGAAAAGGGCGGACACCAGATGGCCAGCGGAAAAGGGCGCGAACCCGACCAGAAGCACTCAGCCTGGGAGACAATGAAAAGAAGTGGGAGACAGTTGAAAAGAAGTGGGAGACAAATGAAAGGAAGTGGGAGACAAGCCAGCCGGGAACCCGACCACAAGC